CAAATCCATATACTTTTATTAAAACTAACATATATACTTTTTATTTACTAATTCTATTAAAAATTGTATTTGTCAGTATAGGCAGAAATAGTCCTTTAATACCAAAACAAATTGGCGCTGCTGTCGCGCATGGAGCGAATAGCATATGTTAGTTTATTTATTTTTTAAATATAAAATTATATTGCGATCTGATTTCCTTCGTCGGATAAATACTTTTATCAATTTTAAGGGTTATTTTTCACCGTATATTAATTGTTTGTCGATAATTATGTGTAAAATACATATTGACAAGATTATTAAAATAGTATGCTTGACACCACTGTTTTCCCGATCGGGTGTTTTCGGTTATTTTTACTGCTAAAAGTTACTGCTAACTTCACGCCGGTAAATGGCTTAATGTTTGTTTATGAAAATGTACATGGGATGTTAGTATATAGTAACCAATAAAATAAAATAAGTGGCATTTAAAATTGTTTTAATACTATAAGTTTTTAGGAGTGTTTTGCGACCCTTTGATCCCCCCACTTTTTAGACAATCAAATTCAATTATAAACAAGACATCAAAATCCTACATCTGTTTTTAACATTTGTTGTCTTTTAGTATTTATGAATACCTTAATTATTGAGTTATTGGCTCGGTTATTGATCCCAATAAAAAGTCATAGTGAAAATTGCTAACAAAAAATGTTTTTATGATCTTAAACTACTGAATATTTAAGGTAATAAATTTCAATTTTTAAATGTGACCAATTTAAAATGAATATCAAAGGAAAATTGAAAATCTCAAAATCCGCATCTCAGAAAATTCGAGAGACCATTTTCCTCCTGAAAACAACTACTTCCTTGGCCAATGCTGCTACAGGCATTGCATTATATCAAGAGGAAAAGAGCAGAGACAGAAATCCATGATTTTAAAATAACTCATTTTGATAAAACACCTTCACAGCGTGTGCGCGCGCTACTGACGGATCCACCGCTCCATTGTTACGAAATGCTAATACGCAGTAAATATGGCCAATAGCGTCACTACCACCTGCTAATAATACGGTACGGTTGCCGGGTTTTATGAAATCGTTTGTTATTTTGCCACATCGTGTATTTTTATGATTTTGCATGTATAATGAATAAGTTCTTTCCTGTTAGTACATGGAAATCGTACCAAAAAAGAAGCGTTGAATTATATCAAATGAGGTAGTTCTGATTTTTTTATGAGTTGGTAATTAAATACTTGAAGATTCATTAAAATTTACGAATTTTTTCCGTTTTTGTCAATTTGTACCACCAAGGAGCCACGTTACGGCTAAAGTTACTATTGACACTTTTTAAGTAGACAAAATTTGCAATTAGTAGGCAAATATTTTTAAGATACGGCTATTTAGAAGTTTGCAAAATTTCAAAAAAAAAGGAAATATTAAATTTTTTTTAGTTTTCGACAATTTTTACCCCTAAGTTGTGGGTTTATTGGCAAAGTTACTTTTTTTAGTAATTAGTCTACTAAATTCCCAACAAAAGACCAATTATGTGAACTTACACATGTGTCTCAGGAACTATGAGACACAGCTGTTTAAAGGTATTGAGGTAAGTAATTTAGTTTTAGTAGGCCAGATAGTTTGCAAAATTTAAAAAAAGGAAGTATTACAATTTTTTTAGTTGTCTGATTGATTTTTACTGAAAGTGCATTTTGTTTTTACTTTTATGTGTAACATAACATATATTAAATATTATAACAGAATCACTGATTTGATATTCAAACTAGCATGCTTACACCAGTACCCCGTGGGTGTTATTTTCGACGAAACAACCATTGCTTCAGTTGTTCAGGACAAGTTCCTATTTATTAAGTGACAAGAATAAAGGTAGATGCTGATAGGTTAATAGTAACCACAGCCATTTCCATATTATCTTCCTACGAAGTAGTGAAGATCGTCGGCGAGGATATAGATTTGTTGGTCTTACTTTGCGGTTTATCACGAGATGAAAGAGACCACATCCTTTCAACAAACAGACCAAATAACAATATTATATTTGTAAAATGTGGGAGAGGAAAAAACCCAGATGTCACCTACTCGACAAATTCCTTTACGCAATTATCACAACCCGAAATAGCACTGTTCTTTCACGCGTTTAGCGGTTGTGATACATCAGCACCTTTCGGCTAAGGAAAAAAGAAATTTCTATCGACAATAAAAAACAGCCATGCCTCGAACAAAACGCAGAGGTTTTCTTAAGCTCCAATGCCACACCTGAGCAATTTGCCTCGTTTCACTTTATGGAGGCAACAGAGAATCGCAAAATCTTAGTGATCTTCGCTTCCAATTGTGCACTAGGGCGGCAGTTGAGGCCAACATGAACCTCGCCAGATTGCCTCCAACCAGGTTCACTCTGTGCGAACATACCACCAGGTGAGAATAAGTTTTTTCTTGTATTCCTTTCTGCTTTAGACCACATTCTTTATACATGATTTCTTATTTTGTTGTTGATTTTGTTTTAGGTTCAGAAGTGGCTGGGAAATGAGAAGAATCCTCTCGATTGGGGCTGTATGCAGAGTAAACAAGGCCTCGTTCCTCAACAGATGATGGCACCACCAGCTCCTTATAAGCTCTGCTAAATATGATTTTCTGTAACTGCAAAAAAGGTGGTATCAGCAGTTGTGGTTGCAGGAAAGCAGGACTGAAATGCTCGGATGTTTGCAGCTACTGCACTGGCCAATATTTCGAGAACATACCAGACCTGATGTGTGATGACATTGATGAACCATTCATTGATTACACATCATCAAATGACCATATCGATCTTCCTGAGCAGCTTGATGGAGAAATTCTTCCGCAAAAGGTGTGCTGTAAATTCAGAGGACGAGCCTGCTCCATCAAAAATATACAAAAAATGCGAGTAATAACCATTTCCTTGACTATGCTGTACACAAAATACAATAAGGCGTTTCATTACAGTTTTCATATTAATGTTTTAATTAGTAAAATGTTTATTTTAATAAATTATAATGCTTATTTCACTAACATGGCGTACTTCGTTTTGTGGGTTTAGGACATCTAGACGTCGGCGTTTTGGCGTGGCCATTTGGACGTCAGGCCATTTCGTCACGGGCCCTTACGGCGTCGGGAATACTATTTTTTAGTATATATGTTAAAACCGCTGTAAGTTTTATTATGAAATAGGTAAATTATTGAAATAAGTGAGGTATTGCATAGGAATGGGATAAATGCTTTAATCTGTTTTGCAAGTACCTATCAGAATTATAATAGTAGATAAATTAATTTTAGTGTAATTAATATTTTATATGATCATTAGTATAATAATAATAAGAAATTGTTCCAAATTTGCAACCCAGAGTAATCTATTGCGATTTCGAACAGGCAGCATTCAAGATAATGGAAGATTATTTTCCAGGCGTCACTATAAATGGTTGTTTTTTTCACTTGGTCCAAAATATGAGGAAACAAGTGGCTTCTATGGGACATACGAGAGCGTACAATACTGATTCATTACTCTCTTAATTGCAGAATGGTGATATCTTTGGCATTTGTTCCTATCGATCATTTAGATCATGCCTTTGATGTTCTAGCGGAAGACCTACCTGCCGAATATCAACCACTGTTGGATTTGCTAGAAGATATTGGACGCCTTAATAGGTATTTAATTCACTGTTTTTAACTAAATTCGTGTATTTCTATATTAAATAATACTATTTTTATTAATAGCTTTGTCTGTTTTTTGCACAAGAGGAAATGCTAGACGACCAGGTTTAGTCCACCCAATGATGTGGAACCTTTATCAAAGGACTTTGGATCAGACAGACCGGACCAATAACTATGCAGAGGCAGCACATAGAAGACTACAGTTTGAATGGCGAGCAGATCATCCAACCATTTGAAAATGGCTTGGCGTCAGGTGCAGAAAGGTCGAGATTTATATTTCGAGCAAGTTAAGGCGCGCAATGGCAATCTCCCACCATTGAAGTTAAAAAAAATACAGGGATGCAGATGAACGCATTTTACGACTTGTTCAAAATTTTCAAGTAAACGGGGATATTTCAGAATATCTAAGAGGACTTGCTAATAACTACAACATGTAATTTCGTAAAAAAGTTTAATATATTGAATATATATATATACTTTAGTAATAGTAATATAGACATTTTATTTTAGTCTTCCTTTCGACACGAAAACAGTTTTATTATTTAATTATAATAAACCTGATTATAATGAATATAACAATTATTTAAAATTTATAAAAATTATATTGTTAAGTTTGCCAAAACTTCCAACGCCGAAAGGGCCAACATCGAAATGGCCGGCGCCGAAATAGCCGATGTCCAAACGGCCACGCCAAAACGACCACGTCAAATTGACCACGCCGAAACGTCTCATTCCCTCATTTTGCCAACCCTTCTAGTACATAATTGTTTAACAATTATGAACAGCTGTGTCTCAGGAACAATCAAGTGTAAATTGACATAATTGATGTCATTTTATTGGGAATTTAGTGGACTTAAATAACTATAAAAAAATCACTTAAACCAACTCCTTAGGGGTAAAAATTGTCGAAAACTAAAAAAAACGTAATACTTCCTTTTTATTAAAATTTTGCAATTTTTTAAATTGCCGTATCTTATAAACTATTTGGCCTACCAAAACCAAATTATTCTTTTTTTATTGCAAATTTAGTCTACTTAAAAAAGTGTGCATAGTAACTTTTGGCGTAACACAGGTCCTTGGTGGTAAAAATTGACAAAAACAGAAAAAAATCCTAAAAATATAAAGAATTTTTTAGTATTTAATAATGATTCGAAGGGCTTTTAAGGTGGAAAATTTGGATTTGTCATTAACATCTCATCACTCCTGACATATAAAAAAATCCTCATTTGATGTACGGAAAAAAGTACCAATTCCATGGACTATGTGGCCTAGCAGTTCCAAAACATTTTTTGTATTGCTGAGAATAACATGTTAAACAAATCTCGTTATATTTTTAATTTTTTACAGGTTGCACCACAGTTTAATGACGTATTTTTTTCATGTAAATGGACACTTCTAAATGAAAGTTGTGAGAATTTATTTACTCCAATATTAACCGAAGAAGGGTTGTGCTTTACGTTTAATATGTTAGATAGAACTGAACTCTTAAGAAACAAAGTGTAAGTATTTAGAAGAAAAAAAATATAAAATTATGAATGAAATGAAAATACCTCCAATACCATTAACCAGCGATACGTTAGGTGTGGCCTCGTAGACTACTAACTTAGTCCTGGTTCTTTCTTCACTGTAAGAGAATTTATCTGCCAACAATAATAAGTAAGATTTGTTAAAAACCTTTTAATTATTTAACATATACAGTACCTATTTTTTCGTGTTACGTATACGATTAGTATATATGTTAATAAAATGACAACAGGGCAACAGCCAGTCGTCGACTAGAATAAGAATATATGATGGTGGGATATTAGCCGAACCGAATATCAATGACAAAACCAGAGTGTATAGCGATATCGGGGATATCGTAGTTGCCATACGCCATACCTAATACAAAATAATAAGCACTGTATATCTACAGGATATGGCTATATTAGGTTAAAAATGCGTGGAGTGATCTCATCGCTTTTCACTTCGACCCAAATGGATCTATTGTGGCTCATACCTAAGCCATAGTTCACCGTACAATCCACACATATTCATGAAGGTCATGATGAGACTTGTTTACGATAAGCTCGAGCCAGATAAAGCCATAGATTTAAAACTTAATTATTTTTGAAGCGCAGCAGGTTCGCCGCAGGTAAATAGGATATTCTCTGCATGTTCATCTTTAAAGCGGCGAAATTGACAGCCTGATATTATTTGTCACACTTATATAGTTATCTAGATGGTAGTACCGGTATTGTCAATCTAAACAGAGTCACCTGAAAATAATGTCAACGTTGCTATAAAGATGGCCTCTTTGTATGCTCTACTTCCTGATTATTGCTAAAAAGCCGACTAGGTATAGGTGACCGGGTTCTCTGAGAAGCATATCTGCTGTAATTGTTTCTTGTTGGACTTCGTGACAGACTTCGGGAGGTTGATCTGAATATATTTCTGCTTTTACAGGTTCTTTGAAGGTGTCCGATTCTTTCGCAATTGAAGTATTTTTTGCTCTCATTTCGTTGCATATTTTGCAGAATGTTTAGAATTTGTAAGAAAGTGTGTTGGAGAATAGTATTAGCAGTGGCCTCTTTACTATCTTGGAATCTTATTATTCTTAAAGCTGCGTGAAAAGATCTATGATTTTTGCTGCTTCATATTCTCGGGCTGCAATTAATGTCTCATTCAGCGTCTTGTGGTCTTGTAGCCGAAGAGAATGCTGCATTTCCACATCTTGTAGTTTATCAATGAATGCTTTTTTGCCAATTTGTTCTACCCTAACCTTTTTTATGTTGTTGCTCTTAATTTGCTTTTAAATTCCCTTGTTTTTGCTCCAAATTAACTTTTATATTCTCTTGTTCTTGCTCCAAATTAGCTTTTAAGTTCGCTTATTGTTCTAATTCTAAATTTGTTTTTAAATTCTCTTAATTCGTTTTTAGATTATTTTGCTGCTATTCTAAATTAGCTTTTAAATTATATTGTTGTTGTGCTAAGAGTTATCTACTAGAATGTTCAGCTGACCTACTACGTGCCTGAAGTTTTCTTAAAGCCATTCATAATTTTCCCCTCTGCTTTTCTACGCCTTTCATTTTTCTCTTCTTTTTTTCCTACACCTTTCCATTTCCTCTTTCTCTTTCTTCCTACGCCTTTTCATTCCCTATTATTCCTCCTTCTTATGCCTTTTCTTTTCCTATTATTCCTCCTTCCTGTGCCTTTCCTTTTCCTCTTCTTCCTTCTTCCTGCGATTTTCCTTTTTCTGTTCAATCTTCAAAAACCATGCTGGAGGCCTAAAGTATCCATATCTGTTTCGTACGCAGTGGATCTAGCATTTACCATGAGTAGAATGCTAAGGTAATCTTTATTTTGAATCCCGTTACTTTCACAATATACAACTATCAACAGAAACGTACACCGTATAATATAAAACTAACTTTGATGTTAGTATCATCGACTTATATAACTCCCATCAACCTTCTCGAACCTTCCAGATGTTACTTGACGCGGAATGACATTTCCAGACTTTTTTATTTTGTTCGTACTTTTACTTATGTCGACCGCAGCTCACTGTAGGGTGGTGGGTGATATTGCACTTCTTTTTTTATTCTTACGTTTTCTATAACAGCCACAGGCTACTGCAGAGTGCTAGGTAACAATCAGTTACATGCCTGTTGGAGTTTAACTTAATCTATCTATATATGATCAGTACAGTGATCGTCACATGTTCGATTTATCGTATATCACAATACAGCAGGTAAAGTATAAGATTTGGAAATCTCAGTATATTATTTTGGTAACATTTTCTCCAATTTGTTAATTGGTTCTTTATGACAGATTCCGATCGAATACCTGGGCTATATCCAAAAATAGTCCTGAACTAATTTACTTATGTCTGATATATCAGTAGCATCAGCAGTAGTTTCTTGAATTAATTGTACTATTTGACCTCTTTTGAGAGTTTACCATGTTTTGGAAACATTATTAAAGCGGCTACTTTTCAGGTATCTCATAGTAATAATTAGAAATCGCGACACGCTGAATTCTACTTTTTTCTGAATTGACGTTTCTATTTTCAACGATTTACAGGTTCTTAAAGATGCTTAATTAATTAGGCTATTAGACACATAATATGAGTGAAAAATTAAAAGTAGATGGACGCATAATGGTCATCTTGTACCGATGATAAAATTATACAAAAAGTTAAAAATGATCACTGGTTAAGGGTTGACCTTACGATAATCCAATCCGTAAATATTACTGGATGGATATTTTAATAATGAATACGTGTAAAATAATTAAAACAAGTATTTGGCATTTATCCTTAAGATATAAGACATGACTTCGTTTAAAATCAATAAATACTCAATATCAGTCAAATGCTTTCCAGATTAGACCCGAGAATAATTCTGGGATTAGACTAGAATAACCATAAATTAATTTTCAAAGGATGTTATATATTTTAGTTCCATCTATAGACAGAGTACTGTTACTAGTAATTATTGACTAACCTACAATTTTAATCTAAAAATTGTATGAACTAATTACGTATTTAAGAAGTCTCCATTGGACTGGGACAGTATCATAACTTAGTGTGACAATTTACTGCATTGTTTTACACTTGTTAGAATTATTATTGTTTTGGGTATAGAAGTAGTCTAATAATTGCAGCGCTACTTCATTATCGTGGGAGTGGAGTCGTCTCTCATGTTTTATTAGAACCAAGGTGCATCAATAATGCAACTGTGAAGTCCACCAAATGGCCACTTCTTAATAACGAAGCACTTAAAAATACACCTCTCTGCGACGGTATTAACCTGCAGGACTTTATCCCGAGAGGCTGGTTATCGCTAGATACCCCTAAGCGGCAACCAGCAGGTTTTGATGAGTTGATAACCTGCAGGATGCGTAGGAGGAGCTGGAAAGGTAACTGTCTCTAGATACCTCTCAGCGACAACCAACAGGTTTTGACAAGTTTGAGAGACAGGTTGTATATGCCCCTCAAGGATGCACAATGGGCCTTATGAGGCTTCAGTGCTGTGGAGGAACCCCCACTCTCCCCACCTTATATATACAGGGAGATGCTAGCGTACCTTCATAACTGTATACTGTAAATCCAGATCTATTTTAGAATTTGTTTATAAAGCAGCAAGAGTTTATTGTACACTGGCAACTTGGATTTTCTTACACATTGCCAATACCTTTTTTTTATTTAAGATCTACTTCTTTGCGCTTTTTTTATGTACCCTTTTCATTTAAATCCTACATCCAAGTTTATTCATCATAGCTTTATGATGCGGATTAATATGATTATACATTCCTACTTATTTTTATTCCTTTTGCCGTAGTGTAAATCCAACATGCGCCTATTTAATTTGATTTACTTTTGTTTTCCACTTTTTTGTCTATCGATTAATTATGTGGCAGGTTTCCTGGAGGTTTTCTCTAATGCCTGTGTAATATTTCGGTCAACTGTTAGGATCGCAGTGTCATCCTCAAACGTTGCTATTTTAATAAATTGTTATTGATGAATATCGCATTGTATTAACTCATACAAACCCCTCCTACCATATTACCCTGCGAGACACCTGCTTGATAGAGAAGCAAATTTATTTTTATAAAAGTACATTGTTTTACACATTGCTCGAAATGTATAGTAATAATAATTTTAATTTCGACAAACTTTTCTTTATAAAAATTTTTCGTATCATTAAAAATATTTGTCAAATGTTGGTTTAATTTTAAGCAAGATTTTAAACTTAAAGAATAATGTCCACATTTTTTTAGGCACATACAAGGCGACTATATGTCACATGGTTCTCACTCTGAAGGCTGGACATTAGGGGAGGGATACCCGAAACATTCCAAAAAAGATACTTTCCCTCGAAGGGCAATGTCCGCTGGTTATTCGGCTGGTCTATTTTTAGTTTTAAAGGCTAGTACACCAGATTTGGATTATATTTGCAAAGGCCCTGTTCAAGGATTTAAGGTAAATTACCAAAATTCTATTTGTGATAACTTTAAAAGTGTATAGGTACTTCAGGGCCCCCGAAATAATAGAAAAACAACTTTAAGCTGTTACATATATTTTTTAAATTTCCTGGTTTGCTGTAATATTCTTGTGGTCGTTTAACATTTGAGCGAATTGCGAAACCACATTTTATTTTAATTTTGTAATGAAACAACAGATATTTCAAAAACCAATATTTTATTCTTACAAACGAATAAACAAACCAAACAGTAAACAAATAAAACATTCAATTATCCAAAAATTAAATTGTTTTTTTTTCTGGATTTGGCTGCTGCAAAGTCTTTTATAATATTGTCAAAATCAATTTTATCGAGGATCTCTTGCTCTATAGCTAAGATTGCCAAACCCGATAATCTTTCTTGTGACATGGTTGACCTCAAATAGTTTTTAATTATTTTTAATTTTGAGAAGGATCTCTCACCAGAAGCTACAGATACAGGTAAAGTAAGTAGGATTCTTAACGAAATGGTAATATTTGGTAGAGATGAAGTTAGATTGTTTTCAAATATATATTGTAAAATGTCGAGGGGATTTGATGCTTCAGGTAATGAAAACAATGTTAGGGCCTTTATCTCATTAAATAAATCATTTTCTTCTATGTCAGCCTCTTTCTTTTACTGATCAGTTAGCTGTTGCTGTAGAGCACGACAGGATTTTAAAAGATTTTCGTCATTTAATTTAAAAATATCACTAAAAATCTGATGTGTCCAACACATGACTTTCCTATCTAGTCATTACGTAAAAAACTAAAATTATAGAGATCGATATCGCAAACATCTTTTAGTTTAACAATTTTCTTAAAAATCAGCATTTTTTTACATTTTGAAAAATTTGTCGAATACGGACCATTTTAGGAAAATTTTGTATGAAACAAAAATTATATAGAATAATATTGTAAGTAACTTTTATTTAAAGAATTTTCTTCTTCAAACGTAAATAACAGATATATTTTATAAAATATAAAACTGACCACCCATAAAATACCCCCCAGATGATCCCCCCCAAAATTTAATCAGTTCACCTCAAGCCGGAATAAAGCTTAAGTTTAAAATTTAATGTGTTTTTCTTTATCCGTTTTTGAATTTTTTTTTTTAATTCGAAATTTATACTTTTTCTCAAATATCTCAAATAAGGTCCATTTTAGAGAAATTATATATGGGACAAAAATTATAGCGAATTATATCGCAAACAACTTTTATTTGAACAATTTTCATAAAAATTTGATTTTATTACATTTTTTCAAATTTCTCGAATACGGACCATTTTAGAAAAATTTTGTATGGAACAAAAATTATAGAAAATAATATAAGAAGTAACTATTATTTAAAGAATTTTCTTCTTAAAACGTAAATAACAGATATATTGCATAAAATATAAAATGACCCCCTATAAAGTACCCTCCCAGATGTTCCGACTCTGCCCAAAATCTAATCAGTTCACCGCAGTCCAGAAAAAAGCTTAAGTTTAAAATTTGGTGTTTTTATTTGTATCCGTTCATGAGTTATGGTGGATACAGACACACACACACACACACAGACACACACACACACAGACACACACACACACACAGACACACACACAGACACACACACCACACACACCACACACACCACACACACCGCACACACAGACACACACACCACACACACCGCACACACACACACACACACACACACCGCACACACACACACCGCGCACACACACACACACACACACACACACACACACACACACACACACACACACACACACACACACACACACACACACACACACACACACACACACACACACACACACACACACACACACACACACACACACACACACACACACACACACACACACACACACACACACACACACACACACACACACACACACACACACACACACACACACACACACACACACACACACACACACACACACACACACACACACACACACACACACACACACACACACACACACACACACACACACACACACACACACACACACACACACACACACACACACACACACACACACACACACACACACACACACACACACACACACACACACACACACACACACACACACACACACACACACACACACACACACACACACACACACACACACACACACACACACACACACACACACACACACACACACACACACACACACACACACACACACACACACACACACACACACACACACACACACACACACACACACACACACACACACACACACACACACACACACACACACACACACACACACACACACACACACACACACACACACACACACACACACACACACACACACACACACACACACACACACACACACACACACACACACACACACACACACACACACACACACACACACACACACACACACACACACACACACACACACACACACACACACACACACACACACACACACACACACACACACACACACACACACACACACACACACACACACACACACACACACACACACACACACACACACACACACACACACACACACACACACACACACACACACACACACACACACACACACACACACACACACACACACACACACACACACACACACACACACACACACACACACACACACACACACACACACACACACACACACACACACACACACACACACACACACACACACACACACACACACACACACACACACACACACACACACACACACACACACACACACACACACACACACACACACACACACACACACACACACACACACACACACACACACACACACACACACACACACACATCATCCCTAAAATAGTCAAAACGGATTTAGGGGACCCCAAAACGTAAAAATCCGTCGAAAACTGGAGGTCGAAAAAAATCATGATTCCTATAATTTCCTTATCTCTGCATACAGATAGGAAAGTAAAAACCAAAAATCGTAATCAGATATCATTTCAAATTTACTATTTAAAGAACTTAGTGTTTGATCAATTATTTTTAAATAGAAATTTATTTTAAACGCTGTTTTTCGATCTTGAGGTGACTCATCTCTCTGTTCATAATTGAACAGTTTTTGTTTATACTTTCATCTAACAGTATTTAATAAAGGAAAAGCTAGTTCTTCAGCTTGAGCAAGTTGTTCCTCGAAAACATTATCATCTCTATAATTTTTAAAATTATCAACTAGATTCTTTAAATAGTTTTGGCACACTTTAATATCATTTTGCTTACAATGCCAATCGGGAATAAAACATCATACCAAATTATTACACTGCAAATAAATTTAAAAGATTGGATACTTAATAGCATAGAACTTGCTTTATGCCTAGCTTATATGTTAAAATTATCATTTTCTGCTATTTCTAGAAGGCTATCACAAATTTGAGTTAAATGAAACTTTAGCGGCCTTATAGCATCAATCCTACTTGACCATCTAGTATCACTTAGGGGTTATAGATTTAACTTCGGGACATGCTTTTTTATAATATCCCACCTTTTTGTGGATGAAGAGAAAAATACATAAAGTTTTTTTATACTATTAAAAAAGTTAACTGTTTCATTTAAAACTTTAGCAGCATCATTTACTGCTAAATTTAAGCTGTGTGCAGCACATGGCACAAAAAATGACCTGGGATTAGCATCGAGTATGCGTTTTTGTGCATATTCGCCCCATTATCATACCCTTGACCTCTCATGTCCTTAATATCTAAATTAAAATTTTTCAAAAGTCCAACGACAAAATTAAATAGCCCTTCCCCTGTCGAGTCGGATATTGGGTTGAACGCTATGAAACTCTCTTGTATTTGAGCCTTTTCAAAAATGTCATTTAGAACGACATAATGCAAGACGAGGCTTATTTGCTCTGTTTGACTTGTATCCGGTGAACAGTCTAAAATTATTGAATATTATTTGGAACTGCGAACCATATTTAAAATATTTTTTACTTTAGAATACATTAATTCAATAATTTCGTAGCCTAAATAATGGGCCATTTTTGAAGAATTTGTTTATGAGTTTTGCACTCGACTAATGTGCTCTCTCATCACATGATCAAAAGAGGAAATCATATCGACAGCTTTGAGGATATTTCCATTATCACATTCAAAAAGTATTTTAGAAGAACCTTGGAACGCTAGATATTGTCTGGATAAAAATTTGACAAATGCAACAATTCTTTCCAGAACGTCGTGTTAATATTTTTTTGAATTTCTAAAACCCGTAAGTGAGGATCGTTTACGGTTGTGGATAATTTTAATATTTTTTTTTAAATTCATCCATGTATTCATGTGAACGTTATGTACAATTGATGTTTCATATCTTTTTATGGCTAAGGACACATGTTGCCAATCAGAAAAACCATGAGTATCAGAAAAAACTATTGAAAGTCCTACTGAAAATTTTACAACAAAAATATCGATTTTTTCGAAACTGAGTAAATGAGCCAAATTATATTTGCTTCTTCTCCATTTCCTAGGTTTCTGACATGGTACTTACTTGAAAATTTTCTTTTGTCTTTGTCTTTATTAGCTGGAAATTGATAATTGTTTCCTATCAAAGGAGGACCAAGCTCAACAAATATGCTGACTTCGTCATTGGAAAGGCTTCTGGGCCATAAACCGGGGTCCTATGATATAAGAATACTAGTATTCTCAGTCACCGCTTCAGTAGAAACTTCATCGTCAGAAGTGTCACTTGTAGCCGTCTTTGTAGGGATGGTCGACTCTATAGAGAATATATTTTCGATAAGGGATGATGATGTTGATGGTTCACATGTTGCAGAATATGGTGGTGCCGCTGCTTCAGAAACTGTATTTTCACCTTCCTCTATCGTTTCAGTGTTGGAAACTTGACTTTTTCGCAAGAAATGTTTTATACTGTCAGCTATCTTCTCCCTTTCTTGGACTCTAACTTTTTGTGCTCTCGAAATTTTGCACC